TGATTGATGATGACTGATGGTGATTGATGATGATTGATGATGACTGATGGTGATTGATGATGACTGATGGTGATTGATGATGATTGATGCTGATTGATGGTGACTGATGGCAGTTGATGGCGATTGACTCTCTTCTCCCTGTTTCAGATACCCCTGGTCTTCCTGATGTGTGTGCTGGTAAAGAGAAGCACCCTCACCAACCTGGTTGTGTTTCTCCTCACCCTCTTCTGGGCACTGGTGGGATTGGCCGCATTACAGAAGCAGCTTCCCGCATCTCTGGAGTGGACTTTGAGTATCTGTAGCCCCTTTGCCTTTACTGCTGGGTTGGCTCAGGTGAGAGCCAGTCTCATTAATTGGTTTATTATTGAACTTTCAAAAGATACCATACTTTAGGATGCCTTACCGTCAAATGTTCTTTTCAAAATAAGAAGTTAAACTCTAAGCCATTCTTCTACTGTAAAGTTAAATGGTTTCAAAGATTTATCATTTAATTTTAGGAGTCCTGGCGACACAATGATTAAGTGGTTCACTGCTAACTGAGAGGTCAGCAGTTCGAACTCACCAGTGGGAAGAAATATGTGGCAATCTGATTCTATATTATAGAAGATTGCAACCTTGGACAGTCTATAGGGCAGGTCTACTCTGTCTTGTTGCTGTTTTTGTTATGTGCTGTCGAGTCACCTACGACTCATAGTGACCCTATGTACAACAGCCCTAAACCCTGCTCTATCCTGTGCCAACCTCACCATCTCTGACACACTCAATCCCACCACCCCAATTACAGAATTGATCCATCTCATGGAGGGTCTTCCTCTCCTGAGCCATCCCTCCACTCACCCAAATATGATGTCCCTCTCCAAGGACCAGTCTCTCCTTGCAACATGTCCAAAGTATGTCAGACGAAGTGTCAGAATCCTTGCCTCCAAGGAGCAGACTGGTTTCACTCTCTCCTGGACAAACCTGTTTGTTCTCCTAGCAGTCCATGGTATATTCAATACTATTAGATTGCTATATTATTGTTAACTGCTATCAAGTCTGAACCGATCACAGCTGACCCTGCAGCAGGTTTTCAGAGGTTGTAAATTGCATGGGGAGGAGCTGGCCCTCTTCCACAGAACAGCTTCAGCTTCATTTTCTGTCAAATTAAGATAAAAATATTAATGCATGCTGCCCCAGAGTTATAAGGAGGGCTAGGTGAGATAAAAATATCTTAGCATATTGCTTTGAACATAGATTCATGTAAGCTTAGAACTTACTATACTGTAAAATTACAAGTAGAAAACTTTTAAAAACTGAGGTAAGTTTATCATATCTTGATGAGATGTTTCGAAGAATTTCTCATATATTGTTCTAAAATGTAATCTTTGTATTTCGCATAAAACGATATTTTACAATATTGCAGTAAGTTCTGGAAAAGAAGTGAGTTTATAATGTAAACCCCTATTCCTAGATTATTGTATTTTTTAATTTGATATTTCTTTTAGTATTCTTGAGAAAGGAGCAGATGCAACATGGGAGTGGCTGAGTCACACTTCCACTCCCTTCATAAAGGGGAACTGTCCCCATCAATAATATGCATAGTTCCAAAATAGCTACAAGGTCGGATATCCCACCTCATATGCTCCTGCACCTTTTTCTACCAATCATCAGGTCTGATGTTTGTTGCAAGACTCAGACTTTACTCACAGTTGTGAAGCTTATTAGGGAAATAGCTTGGAAAGTGGGGGAGGCAAAGAGTATCACACAATGCAAGTCCAACTTTAGTCCAACAGTCCTAAACCAGATTAAAAGCAAGGCACAATTCCTTGATTAGTGAAAGGCAGCTTCTCCATGAAGCAGTAAAAATCCAAGTTCAGTTCAGTAGCACTTATGTAAGAAGCCTCTGGATTCATAAATCATCCAGCAAAGTTTAGAGTAGTCGTAAGTCAGCTTTTCCTTCAATCATCCAGCAAACAAAACCTTTAACTGTGCATTTTATCTCCAGGGTTCCTCTGGTCCTGTTTTACCATAGTCTCTTCACACTCTCTCCATCACCGTCTCTTAGTGTCTACCCAGCCCCTGCACCACAGTCTCACAGTGAAAAGTGTCCTCTTAAATTGGTCCCACTGTTGATGATTTCCAAGACTGTGTTTCCACAGTAAAGGCAGCTGGAACCATGTCCCCCAATGGGGGCTAACACAAGGGCTAGAAAAGCCAATTTTCAAAAGTCCAACACCCTATATCCTTTGATCCTTTCAGTGAAATAGAAATATCTTGACTTCATTATAAAGAGCTAGTCAGTCAAATACTAGTTTTTATTGTCACCCTGAAATATTTTTTACTTATTTTCTTTACCCATTAATTTCCCTCCTTCATTTTTAGATTATCCGCCTGGATTATAATATATATGATGTGATTCTTCCTGACTCTGCAGGGTATTCATATATAGCAGGAACTTTTTCAATGTTGGTTTTTGATGGTCTTTTATATTTGGTACTGGCATTGTACTTTGACAGAATCCTACCCTGTAAGTAATTGTGAATTTTTCTTTAACCTCTTTAAGTATTTCTTACATATAGCGGTGTTTCTCAACACTATGTGCATATTATTTTAAGAACTGAAAACTAAGTAATATTTCCCAGCCACTGGCTGAATACATTATTTGTTTTGACTTGATAGTTTTATAGACCTGAAGGAATTTTCAGTTAAAAATTTATATTGTTCTCACTTCAATACAATTATATGATAATAAGATCTACAGCAAATGTTATAATTGTATAATACTAGAATACTGATACATTTGTATCAGAACAAGCTGAAATATATTAATTTTTAAGATTTTTTTTTTCTTAGTCGCGCACCATGTGATAGGAAAGTGCTTCTCAGTCAATATTTTGTCTTTTTAAAAAAGTAGGAAAATTGTAAAATTAGGCAGGACCTTAAGTGGAATACAATCAGTATTTTCATCTTTCGTTTCAAAAATTATTTTTATCCTTTAAAGAAATAACAGAAATTCAAAATGGAAAATAGGTCTTTTAGCTTTATTCTCAACTTCCCCCTCCCACTCCCATATATTATGTATACATCCAATTAGATTTTCTTTTGTTAGGAAACAATTGAAAAATCCCATAAACCAAGAATTTCTTGACACATATTGAAATCAGAATGATTTTTGCGTTGCAAATTATTATTCATTTGTCTTCTTATTTTGCATATTCCTTCCATACTGATTAAGAGTCCTGTAGACACTGTGATCTAAGCATTGGCTTGCTAAGCAGAACGCTGGAGGTTTGAACCTACCGTTTGCTCTGCAGGAAAAATAGGAGGGAGTTTTCTCCCACAAAAGATTTCTTAGCACTGGGCACCTCACATGGTAGTTGTACTCTGTCCCCATGGGTCACTGTGGGTCTGACTTGATGCTCGTAGGTTTGAGTTGTGGTTGCCAGTTCTACATCAAGCACTTGACTTTTGAGGTTGATCCTAGTGGCAAGGTGTACAGGAGCAGGCAGTTCTGTCTTGTGCAATGACCCTCTGAAGGGCTTTTTAAGTACGCGTACTCACGTGCCCTCCCTCATCAGGGCTCTATGAGTCAGCTGGTTTGACTTTTGCAGTGTGTTGACTGTACTTCAGATTGTCCCACGTTTTATGTTATGTCATGTCTGTATTTCTGTCATTGCTTGCTTACATCTGAAAGACCTTATTAACATGCAGCATTTAATTTTTTAAAGTTTAGAAAATGGATATCTATTCATCCTGTTGTTGTTTTTGTTGATTGTCGTTGAGTCAAGCGCAACTCATAGCTACTCTATGAACAAAAGACCTAAAGCCTTTCTTCCTATAACTATCATCATTTCTCCAAGTTCATAGAGTTTCCAGAGGCATGTGGGTTAGGAAGTGAATGCCACACAAATAAAATTTGCTCATGTATTTTTGATTTATGTATTTCAACATTATAAGTGAAATCATTTCCTAAGTTTGCAGACATGTTTGCCGTTGATTTTGTGTACCATATAAAGGTTTTGTATTTTCTCAAATGTATTTGATCTTTTAAGCACTTTTAAAGTCATTTCTTTCCTTTGATTTATAACTTTAATAATATATTAATATCCTTTTAATTTCATTATTTACTTCATTATCAAGTTTCCATTTTAATGTAAGGCTAACAAAGAAGGTATGATCTGTAATGTCTAAAAGTTCAAGACATGCTTCAAGTGTAACCCAGGCTTCTCCACTCACTGGATTTATACTGCTGATCTGCTATTTTGTTGCCTCTTGATAACTTAGATGGAAATGAACGTCGTTATTCTCCATTATTTTTCCTGAACTCATGGTCTTGCTTCCAAAACCAAAGAACTGGTAGTAAATTCATTGAGAAAGAATTAGATTCTGAGAATCCCACCGATGATTACTTTGAACCAGTAGCTCCAGAATTCCAAGGAAAAGAAGCCATCAGGTAAAGATGCACATTGTTATATTGATATAGGGATGCAAGACTAAGAATTACTAACAACACTATGAGGATGGGCCTGGGGTAGTATGTTACAATGGAGGATTTTCATTTTGGGAGCTATTACTTTGAATTTTCCATTCCTGTCATCACCAATTGCTCTCAGCAGTTGTTTGAAAGGAAGGTCCTTTTTTATTAGCTCCATAGAATGTTACCTTATCATCTTCCATCTTATCTCTCTCTCTGCCTCTGTATCTAGAGACAAGTTCTTTTTTTTTACTTCTCAGAGCCCCTTCTCTCCTTTTGTGTGGCCTACATGTGTACAAACCAAGTAATTTTGAATTCAGAAAGTCTTAGTTCCTAACACTATACTTTTCTTTCCTTTAATGTGTAGTAGTGGGGAAAATTACTAAATTTCTCTGACCCTCTGTAAAAGGAGCTTACACACAAGAGGCTGCCTGAGTCTAACTTAATATCGGTTTCATAAAGGGGAACTGTCCCCATCAATAACATTCATGTTGTTGCAATTGTTGTGTACTTTACTGTGAAGGCAGAATGGACCAATGGTTGACCCTTCAGTGGGTTTTCAGAGGTGGTTAATTGCATGAAATGAGATTGCCTATCCTTCTCCCGCAGAGTAGCTGGTAGATTTGAACCACATGCCTTCAGGAATGCAGTGCAGTCTTAATCACTAGGCCACTAGAGCTTAACTACATGGTTATATTTGTCACCTCACATATTCCTGCACGTATTTTTACCAATCATTGGATCTGGTGTTCATTGCAAGACTCAGAGACTCCACTCACAGTTGTGAGGCTTACTAGGGAAATAGGTTGGAGAGTGGGGGAGGCAATGAATATCACCAATACAAATCCAGGTTTTGTCCAACAATCCCAAACCGCATTAACATTAGTGAAGTCTAGGTGTCATTTCAGCAGTACAAATTTGAGAAGCCCCTGGTTTCCATAATCATCCAGCAAACTTCACCTCAGCACTGTTACAAATCAGCTTTTCCAGGTTTCAGTTCAGCAAGCAAAACCCAAATTATGGCTACGTCTCCGAGGTTCTTCTGGGTACACCTTGCCATAGTCTCTTAACAGCAGTGCAACAGTCTTTCACCCTCTCTCTATCACTATCATCACCATCTCTTATACTGGCCCCACAGGTGTTGACAATGTGTCTGCAGGTAAGGTAGCACCTCCCCAATGAGGGCTAATGCAGGGGATAGAAAAGCCAGTTTTCAAGAGCTTTTGACATCCCATCTTTGATGTTCTTTGAGAAAAATAAACCACATTTTCTGACCGTCAATGTCTTCTATGAAATGAGGATAACTCATTTTGTAGGGCTTTATGGAATTTAGTTTGTAATGGAAATAAATGTACCACCTGAACTATGTTCTCAGATTTTACCCCCAGGGATTATAACTCAGTTCGTGTTAGATTAAGCCCATGGATTTGAAAGATGGGTATAGAGTTTTCTAATTTGAACTAAATCCAGATGATCAGATATTTTATTAGCCATTTATTTATTTAGCAGATACTGATCTAGTGCTTACTATGTACCAGATACACATTCCACTACTCCTGCAGCAAAAATTTACTAGGCAGGCACTTTCATTTCATCATTTTACGTATGAGTAAATTGAAGGACTAAAATGTTAGGTATACTACTACCTATGGTTATATAACTAGTCAATAAGGTGTTGGGCTAGAAACCAGATAACCTGTCTCTAGAACCTGTACTTGTAGCTTCTGGCTATTGTTGAGATATCAAGAGGCAAAGGGAAATGAATAAATCAGGACTCATGGTGGCCTGGCGCTCTTGTGGCCTACTGGTAAGGAATTGCACTGGCAACCCAAAGAGACACTGTTTGAATCTTCCAGCTGTTGCACAGAAGAAATACAGGCAATCTCTTCCTGTGAGATTAACTGCCTCTGAAAACCTGCTGGAGGTCAGCTATGTCTTGGTTCCAAGTCAACAGTACACACAACACAGTGGCCTAGTGGGAAGAAGTTGTGCAATCCTAGCCTCTCAAAACCTCCTGGAGTGTCAGCAACAGGTCAATTCCAATCCGATGGCACAGGACAAGGACATCATAGCTGGGACATGAAATATTTCATTCAGAGAACACAGATACTAACCCATCTGTCTGAGCTTGGTCATTTTGACTTGGACTCTACTTTCTGCTAAACTTTCTGACAGGGCAACCGGACATTCCTGTGTTCACTGTCAAAGTGGGAGACATCAGCTTCATGGAAAACATCTGTCCAAAATGAAGAAAAATAGTAATTTAAAAAAACCCCAAACACCTAAAAACCAAAATGTTGGCACTGAATCCGTCCTGATTCAGAGTGAACCTATAGGGCAATGGTGACCTTGTTAAGTAAAAGGTCAACCGATTTCATCAGCTGAACACAGGAAGAAGCGGCAGTCAGCGCCCATAAAGATTGTTGTTAGCAAAAATGTGTCTTGTTATCAGTGGAGACCCTCAAAGAGGCATCTGCTCTACTGCTTCCTGTCTAATCATGTGAGACAAAGCCTCCAAAATGGTCATGGAGTCTAAGTCTGTGCCAGCCCCCAGCCTCTCCGGTCAGAGCACAAGCCAAACTTTTCTGTCTTCTTTCCCTCTGCATTAACCCTTTGCCAATCCTTAGGGACCACTCCCCCAGCACTCCCAAACCGGGGTGAGGGAAGCTGGACAGAGCCTATCTCCATGTGCTGCAAGTGGGGATGTGCTCTTGGTCACTGGAAAGGTACAGAGGCCAGGGAAGGTAACTAACAGGAAAGAGAAGAGCCAGGCACCTGCTTCGTGGTCACCTCTCCGTGAAGGGTAAAGGTGTGATGGCACCCCTTTACTTTAGGGCTTCACAAACAGACTTTGCACACCTCTCTCCTCTGTGCCTGGAAGTCTTATAGGTGAGCTCTGATGGGGGCAAAAAACGGGAAGTGTAGGAAAGGAGTGAAATGTTGTGTGTCTGCATCAGTGTGTGTAATTTCAGGCTTTGGGAGTTATCAAGAGGGAGGGAGGAAGGGAAGGAGAACAAAATAGTGGAAGTCGTTTCCTATACCTGGGGGGTCCTGCTCTGAATCTCCTTAGGCCTCCACTGTGAATTGGGATAAAAGGGGGAGTGAGTGCTGGGGAGTACATCTTGTTGTAAGAGAACAATCTTAAAAAAAAAAGATTGTTGTTGTTAAGTGCCGTCCCTTAGAGTATGACTTGTAGTGACACGATGAACAGCAGACCTGAACCCTGTCCTATCCTGTGCCATCCTCACAGCCTCTGACACGCGCAAGCCCATTGCTGCAGTCACGGTGAATCCACCTGGTTAAGAGTCTTTCTTTCTTTCTCCATCCCTCCACCATTCCAAGCATTGTGTCCTTCTCTAAGGAGCAGCCTTGCCTAGCAACATGCCCAAAGTACGCTGTGTACGTGAGATGAAGCTTTTGCATCCAAAAGATGTTAGCCTTGGAAACTCTATGGGACTTGGAAACTCTATTGCATCTACCCTGTAGGATCACTATGAAACTCAAAAAAACTGATTGCTCTTTATTCCGCGGAGCTGCTGGTGAATTAGACAAACCAGGGAAGTGCAGCCTTTGAGTTGCAGCAAACGCTATGGACTTCCACACCTGAGGGTGTACTGACCAGAGCTCCCTTAGTCCGCGGGTTCTTTTAAATATACCTTATTTTTAGTTCTGTGTTGGCTAAATACCTCTTTTCTTATTGCAGAATCAGAAATCTTACAAAAGAATATAAAGGAAAGACTGGAAAAGTGGATGCACTGAAAGGTAATGTGACATTCCCTCCAAAAAACAGAGGGAAAATTCAATGTGAAAAATCTGAAAATACAGTCTAGCAAAAAAAAAAGATGAGAAAATGCAAACAAGGCAATTCCACCATGTGAAAATTGCACATAGCTAAGGAATTAAATGCATAATCTTCCAGATATTTCAACGACATTGATTTTATAAAGAAAAGAAAATGGAAAAAATGTAATTTCTTTGTTTTTATATGTGAATCTTCTATCAGCACTATTTTATTTTATTTAAACTATGAGGAAAGTACATTTAGAACTAGTCTAATAATCCTTCCCATAGTAACAGCGGAAGTGCATAGTTTTAACATACTAGTGAGGTTAGTTAGGACACTAAGTCTTAACTAAAATAATTTAGTCAATTAAATGTCACAAGTCAAAATCTTATGACAAACATAGTTCATAATCTTGAATGAGTAAAAATTATGATATGAAATATTCTAACAAATGGAGTTTTCTCTGACTACAAAAGTAAGCAAGCTATGAATTAACAAATTCATAGACAGTGGCTGTATTTTATAATGGAAAGATAGAAATGATTTTACCAGAGACTAAAGGCTTAGAAATTAAAAAGAAGGGCTACGAGGTCTCTCTTGGAGATTGAGAATATTCTGACCATTGTGTTAAGTTGTATTTACTTAACCGTCCTTAATTTTGAAACTTTTTTTTCACAATGAGATCTTTCTTTTGAGCATTTCATGACATTGTGCCAGCAAATTTTTTCTATTTCTAGGTTTTTCTCATAAAATTCTATCAGATCTGTGATTTTGTTCATTCAATTTAATAAAGGTCATATAGAAGTAGTTTTAAATTTAAAATTCCCATGTCTAGAACAAATTACAAACTACCTTTTGGCTCGATAAATACAAAATTAATTTTTTTTAATATATGTAAGTATATTCAACATGGAAAAGGATTCTTTTACAAGAATCACCTTAGTTCATGGTTTTTGTTTTTTGGGTTTTTTTTTATTTTTTATTTTGCTTTTTAATGAATATCACTGAATTAGAGGAAATGGAATGAAGTATACTTGCTTTTTGGAAATAAGGCTGGGTGGTGTGTAGTTGAATTTCCTCAGCCTTCTGTTCCACATCTACTCCAAGTAAGTGCCTAGTTTAAACTTCCGTTATATTTCACTATTTACTTTATTCTGCACCAGTAGCAGAGTCTTTTCATTTAGACTATTTCGTATTGTAACATATATTTTACCAATATTCCTATATAAATGACATACTGTTTTAACTAAATTTGGCCTCCAAATTATTTTAGTATCTGTAGGCTAAGGCCGGGTTTTAACTCTTTCCGTGCATATCTATATGCATGTATGCATATTTATAAACGGAGCTCTCATGGTTTAGTGGTAAGGAGTTGTGCTGCCAACCACAACACAGGTGGTTCGAATCCACATACATACAAAACTCAAACAAAATCTCCTCATTGAACTCAACTCAACTCTCAGAACTCATCGGCTGTGGAGTCAGAAGGCTTTTGTAGTTGACCTGGCAACAGATTTGAGGCTGTAAATCACCCAGGAGGAAACGGCGCACTTTCTCCCCAAGGAGCCTCTTGTGGACTCTAACAGTGAGCCCTTGGGGTGATAGCACAGGGAGCTCTGGGCGCCTAGTGGGCAGAGGCTTGCGATATCAACAAAAAGATGGACAGTGCAAATAAATGTAGAAAGTCTGCTAATATTGGTGTGAAGATACACTCCACACATATTGGCGTGATTAGTTTCACAAGACCAGGTCACTATGTAAAAATTAGTGTTGTGTGAAACGTCATTGACCAAACACACTTTAGTTTCTGGAGCCAGTTTAGAGGTGGCCGGTGCTGAGGCTATCCCCCATAGCCACTACCCACAACCCCCTCTTCCCTGTGTGGGGACTTCCATACTTCAGGAGGGCAGATCAGCTTGTGATGTTTCAAACTACAAGCAGAGTTGATCGGGTCAGAATTTGCAGCTATGAAAGGTTTTGTCCCCACATCTTTACTCTTCATGAAAATGCCTATCCATTCATGCCCACGACTTACTGGCCCTGGTGCCCACAATCATCTAGACAGTGGACCTTGGGGTAAAGCAACGACTGTGTGTCCTGTCTGCATCCCTCTGCTCAATTCTTAGACACTTTTCATCTGAAATACAGCTCCACTCCGATGGAGGAGGGGCCCTGCTAGGACTTGGCCAGACTTCAAACAAGTGTGCCAACTAAGGGCCCGGAGCTCTGACATCAAGCCCTTTTGTGATAGTTCTTTTGTGGCTTTATTTGTGTCCACGATTCCTCTGGAGAGGATTGGGGTGGGAAGGGTCACAGACTTGGGACCCTCCCTTACTGACAAGGTTGGATTCCCAAATCAACATTGTCTGAAAATGGCAGATGAACCACATCATAACATAACCACCAAACTGACAAATTACTGAGAATCCTGGCTCAGTCCAGCTGACACATAACATTACCCATCACAGCCAGAGTTTCTTACCTCAACATTCAGATGTATGTTGATAACAGGCAAAATAATTGGATGAAAGATTAATTTTTAAATATCATTGTAAAGACAAAGTGCTGGATGATGCAGCAGATGAAAAATGAGGAGTAGGTGGATACAACTGAAATATATTGTGATGTTCTATTTTTAGGACCAGTTCTTGCCTATGCTTATGCTGTTACTATTCTGCTCTACATGCAGGCTTATTCCTTGACATCTATGAAGGTCAAATCACAGCCATTCTGGGTCACCGTGGAGCTGGCAAATCTTCACTGCTCAACATTCTTAATGGACTCTCTGTCCCAACAGAAGGTGAGCAAAAGGAAATTTCCAGAAGGCGAGCGACCAGTAATAGAATGAGGTCACACGTGTCCCACTCACTAGAAATTTTAAATTCATTTGCTTCAAACACAATAATGATTGTTTATCTAAATTATTCCCCAAATTTGCATGAAAACGGTTTCATCTTTGTCCTATTTCTGTATGATATTCTAAGATAATATACACTCCTCTGAGCACTCATCTTTGTGAACAAAAGCCTACTATTATTAAGTGAATTTCAATTCTTAGCAACCCTAGAGAAAACATAGGATCAGCTTGCTACATCTTTTTCTTGCAAAGCTGTTGGTGGCTTCAAACCAGCAACCTTACAATAAGCAGTCCAGTGTTTGAACCACTGTATCATGAGGGCCCCTAAGACTTATTAGTTGTTTGCAACTTATAAAGTCAACATTTAAACTATTTGTGAATATATGCTAATATTTTCTTGACTAAGAGCTCTAAGAAATAATTAATCATATGGTCTTGTTAATGTTCAATTATTTTCAACTTCTATTCTTAGGATCAGTTACCATATATAACAGAAATCTCTCTGAAATGCAAGACTTGGAGGAAATCAGAAAGATCATTGGAGTTTGTCCTCAATTCAATGTGCATATTGATATGCTTACTGTGAAAGAAAATCTCGGGCTATTTGCTAAAATAAAAGGAATTCAGTCCCAGCAAGTGGAACAAGAGGTAGAGGACCGTGCTTGGAATAGAAGTGCCAACCATTTCCCAAGCTAACTCATGGCTACAATCGTGTACTTGCTAAGAATTAATTGTGTATGCTGCACTGAAACAGATGAGGGACTGAATAATTTAAAAGCGATGTATGATAGGGTCTTATGGTTATCACAGGAGTCCACAATTAAGGTTGCGTAGTGGAATGTACTTGG